TTCTTTTTTTTTTTTTTTTGGTTGTTGTTTGTTTTTGAGACAGGGTCTCCATGTAGCACCGGCTAGACTGTAACTTACTATTATAGACCAGGCTGGCCTCGATGCCACAGAGATCTACGTGCCTCTGCCTCCCAAGTGCTGGGACTAAAAGGCATGTGCCACCTGAAGCTCATATTTTGGAGAGCATACTTTGTCAGTAGATTAGGAACCTCCTCATTCTTTTTAACAACTCCATAGTATTCCATTCTGTAGATGAATCATCCTTGATATTTGTCTTTTATTGGTAGCCATTTAGTCTTCCCAGCCTTTGCTATTTCAAGTAATGCTTCAGTTACTGGGAAGGCAAGCGTTGCCTTTAGTCTATTAGAGATCCGCAAGGACAGCCTTTTTCTCTCTTTTTTTTCCCATGCTGGGGATTGAACCAGGGCCTTGTGCTTGCTAGGCACAGCTCTATCACTAAGCTACAGCTACAGTCCCCACGCAAGTGGCTTTTTGATGGTCTTTTCCAGGTACAGTGCTTCGACATATCAGAAATGGCTGCACATGTGACAGGAAGCTCTACTGTTCGATCACAGATTCCACGAGTGCCCACTTGTATTTCTGGCTCTTCCCCTCTCCATTTCTCTCTCCCGACCTCCACATCCCCCATCCCTGGCCTCCAGGCTGCTGGGCTTGGTTGCTGCACAGAGGAGAAGAGATTACCGTGGGGCAGTGACCTCCCTATTTCCCTGTTACCTCTTTTGAGTTCAACCTTCCACCTTCGTCGCTCCTGCAGCTGGCTCTTCACCAAAGATGGGGTTTCAGGGCGCACAGCTTCTTTTTCATTAAAAAATAAAGTGCTTTGTTTTAATGATAAAAGGATAAAGAAGAAGGTAGGCATCAGCTATGACCCTGCCTCCCAGAAGCAGCTGCTGGGTATCCTTTGGCAAGCAGATTCCCACACTGGCGAGGGAAATGTAAGGACGTGCAGGCTGGATCATCACATCCTCCGCACGTGCCAGTCAACACGACAAATCTTACAGACATTCCCATTTGTCATTAACACCATTTGAACACATTTTAATGTTTTCATATGTATTTGTACGAAGCATAGTTGCATTTGCAGATTGGTTGGCACCACATTTTTGTTGTGGTTGTTGTGATAAAGTTGCTGGGACTATCTTTGTGAGGATTCATGCTTGGTTTGTCGGGACTCTGTTGGACCATGAGGCATCCTGACTGATCATTTGATACCTTCTCTCTGGGACAATTTTTTGCCTACAAATAGTATCCTTTCCTGCCTCCCACCCACCTCCTGCCAGTTGTTATTTTTGTGAGCTAGATAATGCTGCTTTGAAAGTGAACCAACTTTTCAAGTGTAAAACCTGGTCAAAAGGTGAGGGCAACAGACTTAACTATTAATGTTCTGTAAGATGTAAATATAATCTCTCAGTTTCTAAAATGACTTTGTGTGGAGTTTTTATGCTCTCATTTTATAGATGAGGAAACAGGCTCAGGAGGAACAATAATTCATTCAAGGTCACATTGCTAGTAAACAGCAGAGCCAGGATTTGAATTCAGGAGTTACTATGTTATTGTGGTCATTATATTCATTATTTTTATTTTCAGTGCTGGGGATCTAATCCATGAGCCACATCCCAAGTTTCTAGGTCTGCCTAACTTTAAAGCCCACTTGCACTAGAGAGATTTTTTTGAGCAATTAGTTTCAGAGCGATCAAAGTAGTGCTTTGCTGGTAAAACAGCTATTTAGAAAACAATAAACTTGATTTGTAGTATTGCCAATTTCTGTGGTGTAAATAGTTCTGCCATAGTTAATTTCAAGCTGTCAATGGCTTAACAATATATTTGCAAACTTCTCCATGTCTAACAACCAGTGCAAGCCAGTACAAATGGTTCCTTTGTACCACGTTGCCAAATGCTTAATTATCTGACAGCGGCTTGTGTTTTTTGCACTCTACTTTCTGATTGGATAACTAACTAAAAATACCATCGTCTTTTCTAAGTGAGGCAACAGATGGATAAAGTCCTAAAAATCAGATTTTTGTGGCTTCTTCAAAGTCAGTTACTATTATACAACAGCTCCCCAGGATGAGGTTGACTTTTCTCCCCACAAATGTGTGGATTCGTCTTTCCCAGAGCCTAGGAATTAAGATCAAAAGATAGGCTAGTGATAAGTTATTAGGATGTGGTCAAAGATAAAAAGTTAATTAGCCAAGCCTGTACTTTGTAGATTAGATTCTCATCAGAATCTGTAATTAGAGCCTGCTAGAACCTGGTTCTAATCAATGAGGGAAATAGGTGGGCTGTGGAACTTTCAGGAATGACCACAGGGACTTCCCAGCACTGGGGCCGGGTTGGGGGGAGCCACTTCAGAAAATCCAAATGCTTTAGCAATGACACGGAAGCTGTTTTTATCCTCAGACCTGGCCTCAGAACACAGCCAAGTCACAGTCTCTGGCAGCTGGTGGCTGCTGCTCCTAACATCTCAATCAATGCTGAGTTTGTGATACATAAGGCGCTCTGCAGCCTCCTATGGTCTGTTCAGAGCAGGTTTTATTTCTGCCATTTAGGGACACTGGACTAAGTAATCATTACAATATGATGGTGAGTGGAACACAGGGCCTTCCTGGGACTTTTTGGTGACTGGAAAAGTGGCACTGCCATCTTTGGAGATTCACTGGTTAGGGGACTTGGCAGGTACGGCCTGATGTGCGGTGCTGTCTCCATCTTTGGACTTCGGTGGGAAGAGTTCCCACTTTCCCGGCAGTTGACCAAGAATGATGACTTTCTCCTTGATGCTGTCATGTCATTCTGATTAGTCACAGTGTTAACAAAGGAGTTCAGTGACCCCAGCTGTCATTCACCTCTAAGGGATTCTCTCAGCATACTCATGGGCTGCGCATGATATTTGGATCTGAACCTGGCTGTGTTATTTCCACTTGGAAGGAGTGGGCTGAAGTTTGGGCCATCTCACATGCCCTACTTGTATCTGTATTTAATCCCTGTTTAAAAGAGAAAAACCAACAAGCAATGGAAACCTGCTGGTACCACCTAGGCAGCCACATTCTCTTATAAATGCACTGTAATTTGTCTGGGCTTCCTCTAAATTGACCTAGAATGACTGAAATCTGTTCTCCATCATCTGAAAGGTGTGGCTAATTAGTGCTTGCTCTCTGGAACCTTCCACTCTCCCATTACACTCCTGACCTTGTTTTTAAGGGGAAGAAGGCAGGAGAAAGATGGAGGCATCGTCACCAATCCTCTCCGGGCCTTCTGGAATGCATTTTCCATTTACTAACCATCTCAGTGCTGCAGCTGTGCTGGGGCCATGTACCTTGCTTAGAGAGCAAATGTTTTTCCCTCTTTGTTAATGCTCTGCGTGTCTCATTTCATAGATCACAGGAAGGGGAAAGTGCAGCAGTGTCATTGACTTTATTGCTTTTGTCCAGCCATGAGAAACCTTCTCATCTGCTCCCTCAATCCCTTACTAGTATGAAGCCCCCAACGGAATAAATCCTTCCTCTCTTCAAAAACATTACACTGTGATCGCAGGAGAAAGTGGAGGAGTGGGCGTGGTGCTCTGACAAAGGGGAACAATCAAAGTCTGATTTTTTGCTCGCAAAATGCGTAGTCCAGTTGAAGAGACGTGTAATCATTTGGGGAATCGAGTCGACTCTGCCTCTTGGCTCCCTGCACCTTTTCATCATCTGGACGCCAGATAAAATACAGATGTTCGAGCGAGAAACACAGCACCAGACTCTTTCTCTCTTGGCTTGCACCGCCTCTTAAATGCCTGAATGCCAGACAAACTCATTTTCAGCCTTTTGGTTCAGCTATAATTCACAGAAGATATTCCAATCTGGATTGAATAACTTTCTTTCAGGCTCATCTCTGAAGCAGGCCTG